ACACACACACACACACACACACACACACATATTTACGCAAAGAGGTTTCTAGTTTTTTTTTTTTTTTGTCATATTATCAAGTTCATTTTTGTACATTTGCAATAAAAACATTGTACAATCGTTGAGACAAATTTTCCAAGAGTTACGTTTGCCTTGAGTGACATTATCCGTGATTAACTTCTTTTTTCGAAGCAACTTAATTTATTTGCTCATAATTTCAGCATTATTTCGATTAAAAACTCGATCTTGTTGAATAAAAGTAATAGTAGTCGAATAGAACTGTAGATTTTAAACGATGTGATAATAGTATTGAGCTCTAGCAATTTTCACTTCTAATTAGTAATACAAGTTTTATAACCATGTAGTCATGTAGACGTACGAATGGTACGGATTAGTGCTTTTTACTTTAAGTTTTTAGTCGAAAATCATTTGTCTTATCGTCCCAAATTAAGAACTCCGCCTCACAAATTACAACATATATAGAGTCATCGCGGGTGTAACTTCAAGAACCAATAAAATAGAGAGACACAAAAATAAATGAAAGGCCCCATGCCACCTTTTCTTCGAGCTGGAACATCCATTCCTTCATAATCTTTATCCACTCAAGGAAAAGAAAAAGTAACATGTGGATAAAGTTGCCAACAGTTTCCAACCATAGACCTTAAAAACGCCAATCTTTTTAAGGGTCAGATTCCTATCTTAGTCCAATCCATGTCAGTTCTGTCACACAATGACATTGCAGCGTCTGAAATTTAGGATTTAGAATCTTCCAAAATTTTCTGAAAATAGAACAAGAACCCTAATGGCGGACGTAAGAAGATTTATAGGGACAGTGAAGTGGTTCAGTGGGCAAAAAGGGTTCGGTTTCATTGCTCCGGATGAGGGTGGTGATGATCTTTTTGTGCACCAGACCGAGATCCAGTCCGATGGGTTCCGGACCCTACGGGAGGGTCAGAGGGTGGAGTTCAAGGTTGATAGTAGAGAAGATGGGCGAATGAAAGCTGTTGAAGTAATTAGTTTGGCAAGGAATTATAATTCAGGTGGAAGACGTGGCGTTGGTTTCGGTAGGGGTGGTCGTAGAGGTGGGAGGTTCGGCGGTGGCTACGGTGGTGGTCCTGGTGAACGTGGAGGAGGTGATGGAGTTGAGTGCTATAATTGTGGAAGAATAGGTCACTTGGCAAGAGACTGTTATGGAGATGGTGGTAGCGGTAGTGGTGGTCGTGGTCGTGGTCGTGGTCGTGAAAGTGGTAGTGGAAATAGGGGATTTGGTGGTGGCCGCCTGAGAAATAGTGGTGGTGGAGGGTGTTACAACTGTGGAGAAGAAGGGCACTATGCAAGGGATTGCCCAGCTCACCAAATATGAGAGTAAAAGTTGAACAAATTTTCAAGGCAATTTATTATTATGGTTTGATGTTTAATTTGGAGTGCATTGTTTGAAGAATTTAACCAAAAAACAAAATCACTTTTCTGATTTGTGGATTTTCTTGGGATTATTGTTTCTTTTCTTTCTTTAATTAAAACCACCACAATTTGTGTAGTATTTATTCATAGAGAAAACAGAAAAATATACAATTTCTTATTTTTATGTATTAAATTCTTTCCCAAATGACAATTGTATTTCCTTATAACTGTCATTATTATAAGTTGCTTCTTGATTGTAAATTGTTGAATATTTACACTTCTTAGTTAAAAGAAGAAACTGTAGAACTCCGAAGTACATATTTTATACTTGGATAGTTTGTAACGAAAAAGTTCTCCTGCTCGCGGCGGGCAAGCTTATCCTGCCCACCTGCTGATGTGGCAGGAGAACCAAGTGGGCATTATAAGCTTGCCCGTCGCGGGCAGGAGAACGGGACTGTAGTTTGTAATACTATGTATAGGTTAGAAATATAGCTCCTGTTTGGTCGAAATTAAAATTAATTGTTCACTTTGATTTATATTAAATAAATCTAAAATTAAGGATGGTTTCGCCTATTTTTACATATACTATGTTTTGTAAGCTTTTGAATATTGACCGTTATTAATAGAGCTTCTTTAGTCCATTCTATGAATTGTTTGGCGCATCAATGTAAGAAAGATTTTCGGTCTATATTGCATTAATATATTTTGTAAGCAGTGCTGATAGCACATAAGTTCGTGTGAAAATTGAATGAAAACTACGTTCTGATTCTCCAATGAATTAAAATACATCTTAATTTTATTAGAGAATATAATTGTACACTAACTATTACATAGACCATTGTCCATTAGCCATGCTTATAATCATGAAGTCTTACTATTACATAGACCATTGTCCATTAGCCATGCTTATAATCATGAAGTCTAAAATTAGTTTTTAATATAATTTTGAATTGTTATCTAGGTATTCTTTATTTTCTTAAAATAAAAATAGAACTATGTAAAATCCGTACAATAAATATAAATTTGAAAAGGATATATCAATTTTATTGAGTCAATCCATCTAATAGAGCTTTTGAATATCGACAAAACTCTAGACATTATCAATTTTTTTTTACTAAGTCAGCTTGACGAAATCCTGTTAGCTTGCATTGGAAAAGAACTTCTTAAATTCCAATCTATTTTAAGTTTTTACTTATGTGACACAATTTTTAAACAATCCATAGTTGCATGGGAGATGCTCCTGAATGTTTAGATAAAATTATAAGTTATTAAGGTTATAATATGATTGAAATGAGTGAATAAGTGGATAATAATTATGAATTTTGTGAAATATATAGTTAAAATTTAAATTTAATGAGAGAGAGAGAGTACAACTTGGCCCACATTCATGACCCAAGACCATCTATATATATATATAT